AAAAAAAAAAAAGAAGACACATCAAAGAACTCTGTCTTTGTGCTGCAAGAAGACACCTGCTTGCAAACAAAGAAGGGGCCCTTGCCAAACGGATTGACACCTTAATCTTCGGTTTCTCAACCTCCAGAAGTCTAAGAGCAGATTTCTGCTGTTGATGCCACCTACCCTGTGGTGTTTTTGTTATCCCAGCCCTAACTGACTAAAATACTTGCCTGAAAAAGGAAAGCCCTACTTCAGGTTTTAAGTTACTGCAATTAATCAAACTGTCATTTTAGTTTATCACTTGTTCTGGATGGAAGATTTTCTTTACTACCAAATGCAATCTTTTCATTATATGTTGGCTCAGACAGCATTTTTTTTTAAAGCCCAGGGCAGTGTTTCACAATCATGACATCTGAGAGGCAGGTCATCAAGAGCCTTTCCCAGAAATTAACTCTGAGATCTGAGTCGGTATCAGGAAATCTGTTCTTTTAAAAACAAATTCTCCTGGCGGGTCCTAACTTCAGGCAAGTCCAAGGCCCTTTGCTCCTGGGGAAAAGTTACATGGGAGGAAGATTAAATGCCTGAGTGTTTACTCCGATTCCAGCCATTTCTCTCTAAGCATTTATTGACCGAGCCTGCGATTTTAAAATGAGTGCGCTGGTGCCTGACCAAGCCCACACGCATGTGACTGCGCTATTTGCTCTTTGCAAAGTCCTCCCAGAGTTTTGCAGAGAGTTCTGTACTTTGGTCCTGCGCCTGCACAGACCTCACACCTTGGTCCCAGAGCCAGGCCCACCCCCACTCCCGCCTCTGACTGGGAGGTGAGCACGCTTTTGGGTCACCCTCCCGACCATGTTTTTCCTCAGTCCAGGCTTGGTGGCTGTCATCTGTGCTTTCATCCTGTGGATCTTTGATCGAAAGAGGAGGGAGACTCAGGCCAGGGCTGAAGCTCGCCCCAGGGTGGAGGAAGACTTGAAGGACAGCACTGACCTCCAGCAGGTGGAAGAAGGTAAAGCCGCCTTGGCTCTGTCACTGGGCTCCCCTGGGGTGGGGCGAGGGGACGCCATGGGGAGAACAGGCCAGCTTCGTCAACCTCCATTGTGCAAACAACCAGCTTAGGGCCAAGACCCATCATCCTTCTCAGGCGACCAGCTTGTCACCTGCAAACGCTAACCCCTCTTTGTTCCTGGGCCCCCACTAAGAAAGCTTCCGGGGGTGGTGGCAGCCAGGGAAAGCCACCTTCGGCAGTGGCTGATGTCTCTGGGAAGGGTCTCATTGTAGGCGGCAGTGGGCCTGGAGGAGTGGCCAGGGTATCATGAGGAACTTTGAAATCTACAAAGTGGCATCTTCCTAGGGTTTGCTGCCTCTCACTGGGCCAGGCCCTGTGGGTTAGAGGAGTGGCCACTGTCCCAGAAAGCAGAGGCAGAGAGAGTGACCGCGAGACAAACCCAGTGGGCTGGTTATAAGGGGGTAGGTGGGTGATGGACGGAGCAGCCGGCCTGGAGGAGTCCCGGAATGTAAACAGGGCAGGAGGCAGGTCAGGAAGAGAGGGGGCTGCCTGCGGGAGATGTGAGGAGACGGGGTGGGGAGAGAGGACATCGAGGTGCCCGGTGTTGGATGGAGGAGGCGAAGGAGGTGATAAAGGCGGCAGGGAGGGAGAAAGAGATTCTAAGGGAGCTTTGAATACTCTCTGTTCCCGAGGCTTTGAGCTGGTGCGTGGGACACTCCACTTGGAGGAGGCTCTGTGATTGTCAGTGAGATGCCCACTCCCACACAGAGACCACCTGCAAGTGTGCAGGTGTGCGTGTGTGCAAGTGTGCGTGTGGTGCATGTATTTGTGTGCTTCATGTGGGTAGTCCATGTGTGAGCGGGAATTTGCCAACAACCACAATGAATCTACATATGCACTAGTTTTGTAACATCCAAAAAGAGAAGAAAAGTATTGTTTTGTTTTATTTTTTATTGAAGCATAAAACAAAAAAAAAAATTTTTATAGTACTCTAGAGTAGCGGAGATGATTTTTAAGGATATTT